CTAAAGGGAGACGGAATAGAGAGAAGACAGAAAGAAAAGAGGGTGAGATAGAAAAAGCGGAAGGAAAGAGAGGGATAGAAAGAGTAAGAGATAGGTAGTGAAAGGTTGAAGGATAGCAATAAGGAGAAAAGAAAGGAAAAGAGGGGGGACAGAGAAAGAAAGACATAGGGTGAGAGATGTGTACAGAGAGGATGAGAGAGTGGGAGAGGCGGGTAGAGAGACGGAGAAAGACATAGGAGGAGAGAGGTGTTCAGAGAGGATGAGAGGGGGAGAGGGGTAGAGAGAGACGGAAAAGACATATGGTGAGAGAAGTGTACAGAGAGGATGAGAGAGGGGGAAAGGAGGGTAGAGAGACGGAAAAGACATAGGGGTGAGAGATGAGAGGAGAGGATGAGAGAGGGAGAGGCGGGGTAGAGAGACGGAAAAGACATAGGGTGAGAGATGTGTACAGAGAGGGAGGATGAGAGTGGGGAGAGGCGGGTAGAGAGACGGAGAAAGACATAGGAGGAGAGATGTGTACAGAGAGGATGAGAGAGTGGAAGAGGCGGGTAGAGAGACGGAGAAAGACATAGGAGGAGAGATGTGTGCAGAGAGGATGAGAGAGTGGGATAGGCAGGTAGAGAGACGGAGAAAGACATAGGAGGAGAGATGTGTACAGGAGAGGGATGACAGAGTGGGGAGAGGCGGGTAGAGAGATGAGAAAGACATAGGAGAATGTGGGAGAGGGAGGAGAGGGATAGGTAGAGAGACGGAGAAAGACATAGGAGGAGAGATGTACAGAGAGGAGAGAGATGAGAGGTGGAAAAGAGACGGAGAAAGAGAGGAGGAGAGATGTACAGAGAGGATGAGAGATTGGGAGAGGGAGAGACGGAGAAAGACATAGGAGGAGAGATGTACAGAGAGGATGAGAGAGGGAGAGGTGGAGAGAGACGGAAAAAGACATAGGGGTGGAGAGATGTGTACAGAGAGGATGAGAGAGTGGGAGAGGCGGGTAGAGAGACGGAGAAAGACATAGGAGGAGAGATGTGTACAGAGAGGATGAGAGAGTGGGAGAGGCGGGTAGAGAGACGGGAGAAAGACATAGGAGAGATGTGTGCAGAGAGGATGAGAGGGGAGAGGCGGGTAGAGAGACGGGAAAAGACATAGGGGTGAGAGATGTGCACAGAGAGGATGAGAGAGGGAGAGGAGGGGTAGAGAGACGGAAAAGACATAGGGTGAGAGATGTGTACAGAGAGGATGAGAGATTAGAGAGGGGGTAGAGAGACGGAGAAAGACATAGGAGGAGAGATGTGTACAGAGAGGGATGAGAGAGGGGAGGGGCGGGTAGAGACGGAAAAAGACAGAGGGTGAGAGATGTGTACAGAGAGGGATGAGGGGAGAGGAGGGAGAGACGGTAGAGACAGGAAAGAAAGACATAGGAGGAGAGATGTGTAAAGAGAGGATGAGACAGTGGAAGAGGCGGGGTAGAGAGACGGAGAAAGACATAGGAGGAGAAATGTGTGCAGAGAGGATGAGAGATGGATAGGTGGGAGAGACGTGGAGAAAGACATAGAGGAGAGATGTGTAAGAGGACAGAGAGAGGGAGAGGTGGTAGAGAGACGGAGAAAGAGGAGGAGAGAGTGTGAGAGAGGATGAGAGAGAGGTAGAGAGACGGAGAAAGACATAGGAGGAGAGATGTGTACAGAGAGGATGAGAGAGTGGGATAGGCGGGTAGAGAGACGGAGAAAGACATAGGAGGAGAGATGTGTACAGAGAGGTTGAGAGATTGGGAGAGGCGGGTAGAGAGACAGAGAAAGACATAGAGGAGAGATGTGTACAGAGAGGATGAGAGGAGGGGAGGAGGGGGGTAGAGACGGAAAAAGACATAGGGGTGAGAGATGTACAGAGAGGATGAGAGAGTGTGAGAGGCAGGTAGAGAGACGGGAGAAAGACATAGGAGGAGAGATGTGTACAGAGAGGGATGAGAGAGGGGAGGGTGGTAGAGAGACGGAGAAAGACATAGGGTGAGAGATGTGTACAGAGGATGAGAGAGGGGAGAGGCGGGGTAGAGAGACGGAAAAAGACATAGGAGGAGAGATGTGTACAGAGAGGATGAGAGAGTGTGAGAGGCAGGTAGAGAGACGGAGAAAGACATAGGAGGAGAGATATGTACAGAGAGGATGAGAGAGTGGGAGTGGCAGGTAGAGAGACGGAGAAAGACATAGGGGGAGAGATGTGTACAGAGAGGATGAGAGAGTGGGAGAGGAGAGTAGAGAGACGGAAAAAGACATAGGGTGAGAGATGTGTACAGAGAGGATGAGAGAGTGGGAGAGGCAGGTAGAGAGACGGAGAAAGACATAGGGTGAGAGATGTGTACAGAGAGGATGAGAGAGTGGGAGAGGCGGGTAGAGAGACGGAGAAAGACATAGGAAAAGAGATGTGTACAGAAAGGATGAGAGAGTGGGAGAGGCGGGTAGAGAGAGGGAGAAAGACATAGGAGGAGAGAGGTGTACAGAGAGGATGAGAGAGTGGGAGAGGCGGGTAGAGAGAGGGAGAAAGAAATAGGGAGAGAGATGTGTGCAGAGAGGATGAGAGAGTGGGAGAGGCGGGTAGAGAGACGGAGAAAGACATAGGAGGAGAGATGTGTAGAGAGGATGAGAGAGGGAGAGATGGGTAGAGAGAGACGAGAAAGACATAGGAGAGAGAGATGTACAGAGAGGATGAGAGAGGGAGACGGGGGTAGAGAGAGGGAGAAATAGGGAGAGAGATGTGCAGGGAGGATGAGAGAGGGAGAGGCGGGTAGAGAGGCGGTGAAAGACATAGGAGGAGACATGTGTACAGAGAGGATGAGAGAGGGGGAGGTGGGGGGAGAGAGGGAGAAAGACATAGGAGGAGAGATGTGCAGAGAGGATGAGAGAGGGGAGAGGCGGGTAGAGAGACGGAGAAAGACATAGGGTGAGAGATGTACAGAGAGGATGAGAGAGAGGGAGAGGCGGGTAGAGAGACGGAGAAAGACATAGGGAGAGAGATGTGTGCAAGAGAGGATGAGAGAGTGGAGAGGCGGGGTAGAGAGACGGAAAAGACATAGGGGAGAGATGTGTAAAGAGAGGATGAGAGGGGAGAGGAGGGTAGAGAGAGGGAGAAAACATAGGGGGAGAGATGTGTATAGAGAGGATGAGAGAGTGGGAGAGGGGGTAGAGAGACGGAAAAAGCATAGGGGTGAGAGATGTGTACAGAAAGGATGAGAGAGAGAGGCGGGTAGAGAGAGACGGGGAAAGACATAGGAGGAGAGAGATGAGGATGAGAGAGGGAGAGGATGGGTAGAGAGACGGAGAAAGAAAGACATAGGGGTGAGAGGTGAGAGACGGGAAAGACAGAGAGGATGAGAGAGGGAGAGGATGAGACAGGAGAGACGGAAAAGACAGAAAGGGGAGAAATGTGTGCAGAGAGGATGAGACAGTGGAAGAGGCGGGTAGAGAGACGGAGAAAGACATAGGAGGAGAAATGTGTGCAGAGAGGATGAGAGAGTGGGATAGGCAGGTAGAGAGACGGAGAAAGACATAGGAGGAGAGATGTGTACAGAGAGGATGAGAGAGTGGGAGAGGCGGGTAGAGAGACGGAGAAAGACATAGGAGGAGAGATGTGTACAGAGAGGTTGAGAGAGGGGATAGGCGGGGTAGAGAGACGGGAGAAAGACATAGGAGGAGAGATGTACAGAGAGGATGAGAGATTGGGAGAGGCGGGGTAGAGAGACGGAGAAAGACATAGGGAGGAGAGATGTGTACAGAGAGGTTGAGAGATTGGGAGAGGCGGGTAGAGAGGAAAAGACATAGGAGGAGAGATGTACAGAGGATGAGAGAGTGGGAGAGGCAGGTAGAGAGACGGAGAAAGACATAGGAGGAGAGATGTGTTCAGAGAGGATGAGAGAGTGGGAGAGGCAGGTAGAGAGACGGAGAAAGACATAGGAGGAGAGATGTGTAGAGAGGATGAGAGAGGAGAGGCAGGGTAGAGAGACGGAGAAAGACATAGGAGGAGAGATGTACAGAGAGAGGATGAGAGAGTGGGAGAGGCAGGTAGAGAGACGGGAGAAAGACATAGGAGGAGAGATGTGTACAGAGAGGATGAGAGAGGGAGGCAGGTAGAGAGACGGAGAAAGACATAGGGGGAGAGATATGTACAGAGAGGATGAGAGAGTGGGAGAGGAGGGTAGAGAGACGGAGAAAGACATAGGGGTGAGAGATGTACAGAGAGGATGAGAGCATGGGAGAGGAGATAGAGAGACGGAAAAAAGACATAGGGGTGAGAGATGTGTACAGAGAGGATGAGAGAGTGGGAGGGTAGATAGAGAGACGGAGAAAGACATAGGTGAGAGATGTACAGAGAGGATGAGAGAGTGGGAGAGGCGGGGTAGAGAGGAGAAAGAGAGGAAAGAGATGAGGAGAGAGAGAGTGGGAGAGAGGATGAGAGAGGGAGAGAGGGGTAGAGAGAGGAGGGAGAAAGAAATAGGGGAGAGAGGGAGTAAGTAGAGAGGATGAGAGAGAGGGAGAGGCGGGTAGAGAGACGGAGAAACGAGAAAGAGGGAGGAGAGATGTGTGCAGAGAGGATGAGAGAGGGGAGAGGCGGTAGAGAGACGGAGAAAGACAGGGAGGAGAGATGTGTACAGAGAGGATGAGAGAGTGGGAGAGGCGGGGTAGAGAGACGGGGAGAAAGAAACAGGGAGAGAGATGTGCACAGAGAGGGATGAGAGAGTGGGAGAGGCGGGGTAGAGAGGCGGTGGAAAGACATAGGAGGAGAGATGTACAGAGAGGATGAGAGAGGGGAGAGGGGGTAGAGAGAGAGGGAAAGACAGGGGAGGAGAGATGTGTACAGAGAGGATGAGAGAGTGGGGAGAGGTGGGGTAGAGAGACGGAGAAAGACATAGGGTGAGAGATGGGTAGAGAGGATGAGAGAGGGGAGAGGGGGGTAGAGAGATGGAGAAAGACATAGGGGAGAGAGATGTGCTGAGAGGATGAGAGAGAGGG